GTAACAAATTGGGCTCCTAGAAGAATATTATGTGAGCTTATTATTTTTTTTAAAGAGGACAGGGAAAATAGGCATAAAAGAAACATATGCATGAAGAAATTGGGGGGAGGGGAACAAGGAATGAAAGTGACTAGAATGATGTTGTTTCAAGTGATATAAACTCCTATTTTTAGCAACATACTCCTATGATAAGAAATAATACTACTGAAAGAGAATTTTAAAATTTTTACTATATTTTAACTTAAAATAGTTCTAATATCTATGAAAAATAATTTCCCAATTATCTTTGGGCAAATGCATTTGTGCTTAAAACATGTTCTTATCTCAACATTTTTCTATCTCTATTTTTAGTGTAAATAGAGATGCTTTCAAATAATGTGCATGTTATATTCGGACATTTATCATTTATGTAAATATGAATTGATCGTACTTGATATTCTAATTGAACAAGTCTTACAAAAATAAATATCATACAGACACAAGAATAGGAAGTTTTGTATATTTCCCTTGAAATTACATTATTTTAAAATGATCAAATTATTTAAACTTATATTTATTCTCTCTTTACTATCATTAAACCAGTTTTTCATGTTTCCTAAGTGATTGCTTGAGCCCTACGTGTAATGCGGAAACCATTTGTTATGACAGCTATGTCTATATGAAGTCTTAAACAACCAATAATGAAATCTGAAAATTCAATATTTTCTTTATTTATATAGTAATCATGATAAAATAGTGGCACTGGAAAATGTCAGTTTATATTGTAGTAACTGTTAGAGCTACAAACCTGACATCTATAATCAGTCAGCGATAAAAATATAGCAAATTGGGATAAATTTAGTTCAGTCATTCACATAGAGTGAAGCTTCTTGTCACCTGCTTTCCTTTGTCATTTGAATACCTTGGTCTAAGTTTTCCTTAATAGAAAAGAAAAAAAAAAAAAAAAGAAAGGTGTTCAAAGAAAAGAGCCAATTGTAGAGCAAAAGAATGATTCAAGGAGCTTACTACACTTTGCGGCTTTAAAAGGTGTTAATTTTCTTTTTGTGGTGTTAAAATTCTGCATTGTCATTTTCTAAATAGTGGTAACACAAATAATCCTTAGCATTTTTCACACAATTCCCGCTCTACCCCCAGGAAATACAGTACAATAGTCTAGCCTCTTCTGCGAAATGGGGACAATAAAACCTGCTGTGACATAAAAGTCCTTGTGATTGATTGATTAATGTCAGTTATCCACAATAAAACATCTGGATTAAAGAAACTTTTGAAGTACAGGGCACAATAGAATTTTATTTTATTTTATTATTTTATTTTTACCTTTGATTGGAATATAGAACTAGTACATTAGAGTTGAAAATTTTAGTCTTGAAATCCTTGAGGAGGTCATTTGATCATTCCAAATACCACAGTCTATGTCATTTATAGAAAATGTAACATGAAAAAGCTTTTATGATCTCTGTGTGAAATGTAATTTTAAAATGCTGAGTGGTAACTAGAAAATCATAGGTGAAAATCCAATTAACAAACTGAACTGCGTAGTAATTCAGGTTATTAAATGCCATTACATGGAAATTATTGTTTAAATATATAAACAACATTAAATTCTTGCAATATAAAATAATTTCACTAACTCGATATCTCTTTCTGTATAAATCTGTAATAGTATTTTAGTCTTCGCTTAGCTGGCCGAAGGTGACTTAGCTTCACAAGTATCCCATGACCTATATAACCGGCAGAGAACACAAAGGTAATTTTACTACAGCCTGGATGGCATAATTCTTAAAGTACTAATCAGGTACAACACAGGTGATAATTCCTTGCTGTAGAAAACATGCATTGACAAAGATGTATAAGGGTTAATTGAAGAGATCTAATCAGAAATGTAACATGTATATTGGAAGATGTATACTGGAAATCATATAAATGAGAATCTAACATTTTATTAAATTCATGAAAGAAAAAGGTGATTAAAATGCAGCAAAAAAAAACAATAGATATTCCCCTACGAAAACTAAAATTAATGAATATTATCATTCCCCTAATTCATAATTATGCAGATATACCTTTTTAAAACAAAATTAGGAGTGGTGGATTGTGAGCAGCTCTCAATATGCAAATGTTTTATATTGTAGTTTGGGCAGAAGCCTCAAGTTAAGATAGCAGAGAGTTAGGAAAATGACCCTTCATATTTAATTTTCTTCCAGGAATATTAATAAGATCTCTAATAACAGTTCTCATTCAAGAGTTTAGCAGTTGAAATATAATAGGGCAAACAAGTTTCAACTATTCTAGCTTTAAGAGGTAAAACTATTATGATTAAAGAATCCCACTAATTTATACATGCGAAATAAACACCCATAAGATGGAATGCAATGAAGTCAGTAGCTCTATTTCTATATCATACTCAATGGCCTTTGAAAGGAATCTACATGTGCTTCATTTTGGGGCTTTGACCTGTGGTTTCTGTTAATTGAAGTCTCATGGTCATAAATTTTTATAATGTGATGATATTTTTCTCTTCCTTAACTTTCATCTGTGTTCATACTAAGATTTCATTTATGAGCGTAGGATAATAATGGGTCCTGACTACAAGCAACTACCCCTTAGCAGACAGAAACAATTCCACTGAGTGATAATGTTAATTATGGCTAAGCTATGTGTTGTGACTTTGAAATGACTACGGTATGATTAGAATAAGAGTGTGAGATAACTGATGCTTACAAAATGAACTGGAAAGTGGCTGTGCTGCTATGTTTATTGTAAATGTATCAGAATGATGGTTCATTTACTATTTTACTATTACTATTTTAAACTAGTTCATTTACTATTTACTATTACTATTTTAAACTAGTTCAATTGGAACTAGTTGGCAATTGGAACAATGCACTAGCTTTAATTGTAGATTTTGTGAATGGCAAAATGATCATTCACTGTGGTAAAATAAAAGAATCTTCAACTCACTTGCATTATTGTATGAGGTAATATTTTTCTTTTGACTTTTTAGCTACTTAAGCAGTCCTTTTTATTCTTAAATTTTGTATATTCAAATCATACAAAATACTACCATAAGTTATTTAGCCATTTAAAAACAGTATCAACATATGGTCTGCTAGAAACCTGTTTTATATTTCACATAGAAGGGATTCATGTATTTTACAGTGGGCTTTGAGGCACTGCACTTTTACTGTGTATATACACCTGAGGAAAAGTCCAAAAAAAATCCTTACATTTCCATAGATGTGGAAAAATTGCAATGTCAGGTGAATTGGTTAAATAATGGAATTATTTATACAATATCTAAGTTTGGTAGGTTTGCTTAGTGATTTTTTTTTTACATTTAAATATCTAAAAATAAGTGTTCATATTTAAAAAGGAAAGCCATTGTATTCAAAAACAAAAGGTGTTCCTGAACACACCATCGCAGTGCATAACTACATGAAAGAGCCTTCAAGGCATCTTCAGCCCAATACAGAATGGGAAACACGGAGGTTTAAAATAGATGCCCTTTATCCTCCCTGTAAGTTAGAACAAGTTATTCAATCATGCATTAAGACCTTCTCAGACAACCTTTATAGGTCATGCAAAAAAAAAAAAATTATGTTTTTTGTTCCAAGTGAACTGTTACTATTATTAATGCTTCTAACTTTACTCAGGCATCTGGCGTCGTAGGTACAACCCATAAAACAAACCTTCGTGGTTTACTGATTTTAAAAGATCAATCAAATATAGATAGTGCTTTCGGGGCCAATATTTAAGGAAAAAGGGTAATCCTTTCGAGAGTCATTCTATCCGGCTCTTGCATGAAAATGAGAAACGCGTGAGGATACTCGACGGAACAGGAGACGGAACAGGAGTCAGAGAAATGAATTGCACAGGGAAAGACAAGTACTACATGTCAAGTTAGAATCAGCAGAAAGTGTAAGAGGAAAGGAAACGTTCCACAGCTTGGGGAGCAGCTGGACAGGACTCTTTCCAGCCTCTCCCGAGCAAAGTTTGCAGTTAGGTGAGGTGAAGCGGCTTTTGCCGCAGCCGCGCGTTCGGGCGAGCTTGGGTTCACAGGTTCTGGACGCGGCGGGAGCAGAAGTGCAAGGACAGCCTGGATCGGCCGCCGCGGCCCGTCCTGCTACTGGAGACAAGACTTCGCCCCGCTAAGCAGACTGGCCTAGGGCTGACTAGGGTGACTAGGGGATCCCAGAGGCTGTCATTTTCCCTTTCTCCCGGCAGCTTCCGTCACCCTGCACGTAAGGAGGGCTCAAATTAATTTTCTTTCCGGTCTTGATTGAGATTCGAATATCCTCTGTCCCGACCTTTCCTATCCGCCCTCTCTGCCCTTCTTGCCAATGTCCTCGCCAGCAAAAGCCTCTAGTTGCGGCACCGGGAATGTAGCCCGTTTAACGCGCTCCGGGGATCTGCTGGGCCGTGCTCTCCTCCGAGGGCCGACAGTGAGTCTTGGACCCCGGGTGGACTCTCCCATCTGTGCATTTTGGTCCCTCCATTTAGCAAAGAGAAGTGTGGAACGTGCGCCGGCAGCTGAGCCGCCTCGGCATCCCCCAACCGCCCGCAACGGTGCCCGAGGCTGCCGGATCCGCGCCCGCACGCCCGGCCGGCCTCCCGCTCCCCCTGCTCGTGTGACCGCCGGGTCTCGGCCGCTCGCTGCCCTGTGCCGACCGGAGCAGCCGCCAGCCCCTCAGCGCCCGTGAGAGCCGCGTCAGCGGGGGCCTGGGGAGCGTCGCCTTTTCCCTCCCGGGCCGGACCCTGCTGGGCATGCTCAGTGCACCTCCTGGAACCCGGCTCTCCCGGGGCCAGGATCGGGTCTCCGGGTTTTCGCGGCTGCCGAGGGGGCGATGGGGAGGAGAGGCTGGCAGATAGTCAGCGCCTTGTTCCACGCCCAGCTGCGGCCGCCCGCACCGCAAGATACGGGCCAATCAGGGGCCGGGGGAGGGGCTTAGACCGTCACGCCCTCCCTCTGGGTTATTGAGAGTTCTATCAAGAAATTCAGTTCAGAGAGAGAAGAGAGAGAAGGAGAGAGGGGCAAAGGAGAAGGGAGCGAGGGAGAGCATGCCAGACAGGAAGGAGCGCCCTAGAGTCTCCGAAGCACGATACAGATAACCAATTAGGAATTTTTCGGGCACTGTCACCCACCCCGAGAGCAGCCAGAGACTCACCATCACCCCAACTCTGACGTTTCCTACAAGAAGTTAGAGACTTAAGCAGTATTGACATCGGAGGGAAATGGTATGTTTGATGCTGTGGAAAATACCCCCGAGCTGAAGAAGTGCAACTGGATGTTGTGTGTGCGTTAAATACCAGAAGAGCTCAGGCCCCGTGGGTAATAGAGACGAAATGTGGAGAGAATGACTAACGACAAATCTGTGAATTTGTTCTCTGGAGTTGCTAATTTGCCAGCCCGAAGCAACACATTTTACAAGGAGGAAACGTTTTGCTGCTTCTGATTTCTCCCCAAACTGGTGCTACCAGACGCATGGCTTTCTATATGTTGGAACAGCTCATTTTTAACTGCAGCATACCGGGAAAGGGGAAAGGTTGAGGCAACTAACGTAAGTGTAAAGTTTCGCATGCACAATTGTAAATTTTGTGTTTAGATATGTCCTCGGTGTAGACGAGGGATGTTTGTAGTTGGGTAGACTGTTGGGGCAGAGCTCACCTACTAGGCTGTATCTGCATCCCTACCTGCATCACTCTGCCGGAACTAATCGCGGGCATCAGCTACCGTGCAGCCTAATGCAGATAAGATTAGAGCCTGGGTACTGACCAGTTCTACTCAAGTAGGTAGCTGTCTGGAGCCTTGCACCCGTTTAAATTGCAGTTAGGAGGGCATCTAAGCAGAAGGCTTTTTACCTGCGTTATTTAGTTGCAGTATTTACGTGTGGCAGATGTTACTAATACTACAACTGGAGATCGGGGTTAAGAAACTGCATTTTTTTCCCCTCTTTTATGCTCAGTAGAAAATATTGTGCTGTTACATGGAAATGTTAGCTGCGTTTCACTTATATCCTGGCACTCTCTTCCACCTCTAGGATAAGGAATCTTATGTTATTATATATATTCTAAAAGTTTTAATGTGTTTCTTAATTCTAATGGTGATAATTTGGCAACATGGAGAAATGAGAGCAAGGTCTGGGTAAGAAACTGAAGGTCTTGGTATTGTGCTTTTAGGCAATGAGGTTATACAGTGGCCAGAGACTTGCTTCTGTCGCTGCAGCAGCATGTCCGGATGCTTGCTTCCCAGTAAAATTGTATTTAGAAGGCAGTTGAAGAACTGGGAGGAAAGAAAAAAGATAGTCTTTTTAGAAGAAAGAGATGACTCAGTGTGGCAGAGAAGAAAACGCATCATGTATGACATGTGAGAAAGCAATTAGCAGGAACCATAGCTAAGTAGTTAGTGTTTTTCACTGGCTCCCAAAAAAACTAAGGGAGGTCGGTTAGAAGCCAGGAGGCGGGTAAGCCGGGGGGAGGGGGAGTGTGAATGGGAGGAGATGGGGGGTGGGGGCGTGGTGGTGGTGGAGGGGAAAAAGAGAACAAGAATGCATGTTTTGAATTAAACAGTATCCTGAAAACAGTGTGGGTGAATACAGGTAAAAAGAGCAGCTGTCTTTAATTCAAAAGTAGATAATTTCATTTTCTCTGGGCAAATGCAACAAGCCTGGGATATTTAGTATTTTTATCCACAGAGTTAAGTTGCAAACAGTGGCAGAACAAACTGCCATGTTTACTAATATGCAGTGGGAAAATGTGTTGTGATATTTCGTGACTGTGTGCTTTTGTTTACTGAAGAATAATATTGTTTATATGATTGTGTTGACAGTGGCTGTCTCCAAATAAGTCATGAGATGTAATGCATCCTCCAGCCCATGCACGCTTCCTCTTGTAATTTGTGCATCATTCCTCAGTGGAAACCTTTAAACCCTAAAACCCAGGAAAAGAAAATAAATACATTATCATGGACCTGAGGGATTTTTACCTGTTGGCTGCTCTGATTGCCTGTTTAAGGCTGGATTCTGCAATAGCTCAAGAACTTATTTACACTATTAGAGAGGAATTGCCTGAAAATGTGCCCATAGGAAACATACCAAAGGATCTGAACATTTCTCACATCAATGCTGCCACAGGGACCAGCGCTAGCCTTGTCTACAGACTGGTTTCTAAAGCTGGGGATGCCCCTTTGGTGAAAGTATCCAGTAGCACTGGCGAAATTTTCACGACCTCCAATAGAATAGACAGAGAAAAACTCTGTGCTGGAGCCTCTTATGATGAGGAGAATGAGTGTTTCTTTGAACTTGAGGTGGTGATCCTCCCCAATGATTTTTTCAGGCTGATCAAAATTAAAATAATTGTCAAGGATACCAATGATAATGCCCCCATGTTTCCATCTCCTGTCATCAACATTTCCATCCCAGAAAACACTTTGATCAACAGCCGCTTTCCAATTCCATCAGCAACAGATCCTGACACAGGCTTCAATGGTGTACAGCATTATGAATTGTTAAATGGGCAGAGTGTTTTTGGACTGGATATCGTGGAAACTCCGGAAGGAGAGAAGTGGCCACAATTGATTGTTCAGCAAAACTTGGACAGAGAACAGAAAGATACCTATGTGATGAAAATCAAAGTAGAGGATGGAGGCACTCCACAGAAATCCAGCACAGCCATACTGCAGGTCACAGTAAGTGATGTAAATGACAACAGGCCAGTGTTTAAAGAGGGTCTAGTGGAGGTGCACATTCCAGAGAATGCTCCCGTAGGCACCTCTGTAATTCAGCTCCATGCCACTGATGCAGATATAGGCAGTAATGCTGAAATCCGGTACATTTTTGGTGCCCAGGTCGCCCCTGCAACCAAAAGACTCTTTGCTTTAAATAATACTACTGGGTTGATTACAGTTCAGAGGTCCTTAGATCGAGAGGAGACAGCCATTCACAAAGTGACAGTGCTGGCTAGTGATGGCAGCTCCACTCCCGCTCGAGCAACGGTTACCATCAATGTTACTGATGTAAATGATAACCCTCCAAACATAGACCTCAGGTACATTATAAGTCCCATCAATGGCACAGTGTATCTGTCTGAGAAAGATCCTGTCAATACAAAGATCGCCCTAATTACAGTTTCAGATAAGGACACAGATGTGAATGGCAAAGTGATCTGTTTTATTGAAAGAGAGGTCCCGTTTCATTTGAAGGCAGTATACGACAACCAATATTTGTTAGAGACCTCCTCTTTGTTGGACTATGAGGGCACCAAAGAATTCAGCTTTAAAATTGTTGCCTCTGATTCTGGGAAGCCCAGTTTAAATCAGACTGCTCTGGTAAGGGTTAAGCTTGAGGACGAAAATGACAACCCACCAATTTTCAACCAGCCTGTAATTGAGCTGTCAGTTTCTGAAAACAACCGACGTGGGTTGTACTTAACAACTATTAGTGCCACAGATGAAGACAGTGGGAAAAATGCAGATATTGTTTATCAGCTTGGACCGAATGCCTCCTTCTTTGATCTGGACCGAAAGACAGGAGTTTTGACAGCCTCCAGAGTCTTTGACAGAGAAGAACAAGAAAGATTCATTTTTACAGTAACTGCCAGGGACAATGGGACCCCTCCCCTCCAAAGCCAAGCGGCTGTGATAGTTACTGTTCTGGATGAGAATGACAATAGCCCCAAGTTTACTCATAATCATTTTCAATTTTTTGTGTCTGAGAATCTGCCAAAGTATAGTACCGTGGGGGTAATCACAGTGACAGATGCAGATGCTGGAGAGAATAAAGCTGTGACTCTTTCCATTCTAAATGACAATGATAATTTTGTGTTGGATCCCTATTCTGGAGTCATAAAGTCAAATGTCTCATTTGACAGAGAGCAGCAGAGTTCCTACACTTTCGATGTCAAAGCCACTGATGGGGGACAACCACCCCGTTCCTCTACTGCAAAAGTAACTATAAATGTCATGGATGTCAATGACAATAGTCCAGTTGTCATTTCGCCACCTTCTAATACTTCTTTTAAGTTGGTGCCTCTCTCAGCCATTCCTGGCTCTGTGATAGCAGAAGTTTTTGCAGTGGATATTGACACTGGGATGAATGCTGAACTTAAGTATACAATTGTGAGTGGGAACAACAAAGGCCTGTTTCGGATTGATCCAGTAACAGGTAACATCACTCTGGAAGAAAAACCAGCACCTACTGATGTGGGCTTGCACCGATTGGTGGTCAACATAAGTGACCTGGGATACCCTAAGTCTCTGCACACACTTGTGCTTGTTTTTCTTTATGTTAATGACACTGCTGGCAATGCCTCCTATATCTATGACTTGATTCGCAGGACTATGGAGACCCCATTGGACAGGAACATAGGCGATAGCAGCCAACCCTATCAAAACGAGGACTATCTCACCATCATGATCGCCATTGTCGCAGGTGCCATGGTGGTCATCGTCGTGATCTTCGTCACCGTTCTGGTGCGCTGTCGCCATGCATCAAGATTCAAAGCAGCTCAGAGGAGCAAGCAAGGTGCCGAATGGATGTCCCCCAACCAGGAGAACAAACAAAACAAGAAAAAGAAAAGGAAGAAAAGAAAGTCTCCCAAGAGCTCTCTTTTGAACTTTGTTACCATCGAAGAGTCCAAACCCGATGATGCAGTTCACGAACCCATCAATGGGACAATAAGCCTGCCGGCTGAGCTGGAAGAGCAAAGCATAGGTAGATTTGACTGGGGTCCGGCACCTCCAACCACCTTCAAGCCGAACAGCCCTGACCTGGCCAAGCACTACAAATCCGCTTCTCCACAGCCCGCTTTCCATCTTAAACCAGACACTCCGGTTTCTGTGAAAAAGCATCACGTGATTCAGGAGCTCCCGTTGGACAACACCTTTGTCGGGGGTTGTGACACCCTTTCCAAACGCTCTTCCACTAGTTCAGATCACTTCAGTGCCTCAGAGTGCAGTTCCCAAGGAGGCTTCAAGACAAAGGGCCCCTTACACACCAGACAGGTAAATGAGCACTTTTACTGGTCTATAAGTACTGCATACAAGTGCCCAGTCAACCAGTATTAACGTGCCAGTGTGTCTCTTGTTTTGGTCTAACTTTAGCTTAGTTATAAAGAGGGGAAAAAAAAACTTGACCCCTTTTCTATTCCTCTGGGGCTCAGTCAAGAATTTTTAGAACAGCTTTGAAATTTCTGAGTTCTGAGAATTATTTAAACTCCCAGTTTCCTTCAAATGTCAAAAGATGAAAAGAGGAAATTATTCCAAAATGTCCCAAGATAACATTTGCTGAAGAATAAAACCTGTCCTGATAGGCCAAATTCTCCTCCTGGGGTTTCCAAATTGACTGCTTCAAGATTTTCACATTACCATTTGATCTCAAAAGTCACCTTCAAATCTCAAGTTTTAAATGATGTTTGAAGGTGTGACTATAATTATGTTACAGCTGTGGTTGCTAAAGGGGTTAATTTTTTTTTAGTCTCTAAAAAAGATAGTAGAATATTAAATGTATATCAGCTGTGAAGCACATGATTGTTGATAGATTGCGACTAAGCCATATAGGAAGTCTTCTCTTTAATTTCAGATGATTTTATTGTAATATAGTAAATTGGGGGTTGAATAGGAAGGTTTGCAGATTGTCCACAATGGCCAAAGTACTCTTTCAAAAAAAAAAAAAAAAGAAAAGAAGAAGGAAGAAGGAATACTTTCTCCCTAATAGTACTGGTTTATACAGAAAAGAATGAATCCATTGTAAATATTCTCTCATCTTAGTAATGCATAAGTGATCTGTCATAACTCATTTTAAACTGTGAAATATGCCATATGAAGAGGGATTAAGAGGCTGAGAAACTCATATTTCAACCAAATCCAGAATTAGTTTTTCTTAGGTCTAATAATTCCTTGTTAATAAAGATTTAAATGCAGCGCTGTCTAATTTATTTCACTGGTGCTTGTCTGTTGCCATGAAATTTGAGTGTCAATAATAGCCTGTAGATGGCACTAGGGTATCATGTCCCTTGTGCTGGCCAGCTGCCAATCCCACAGTAGCAAGGAAAGGGAGAGGGAAAGATCAAGCTGGTACTATAGCCAAAGATACCTTTTATTTAATGATAGTTGCTCTGGAGCAACTAGCATGTCAGTTCATTTGCTTGCTCTTTTGTGATCAGCTCTCACACACCAACTTTCTAGGATTTTGTAATCCAAGTTCTATCTTTGTTGGTATTGAGTCCACCTATGGTGATGACCCATCTGAATTTGTTAAAAATAAGGAACATACAGATTTTAGAGAATCAAGTAAAGCAAGATAAATTTTCAGGATAGTATTGACAGTCATTGCTTAGTATTTGAAAAGTCAAGAGTTTTTCTTTTTTTCCTGTGGTGGTGGGACTGGTGAGAATGGTCTATTGAAACTCTGTCTCTCACCATCCAATGTTTGTTGCTCTGCAGTGACTTTAAGGTTTCATGGTAGTAAGATATTTATTAAAATCATTCTGGCAGTGAATCACAGAGATTCGTTCAGAACATTAAGTATAACGCCTACGATTTTACAACTAAAATCTACATTTCTTAAAAGATTAAATATGTACAACATTTAGAAAGTACAAGAGCTTGAATGCACAGGATGAAAGGAATTAAAATAAGTCAGTTTGGGGGTTCTAGAGGAGAATACGGAAGTTACTGGATATACATAGAATTTGGAATGAGTTATTTTCATGTTAACTTCATGAGCTTTTTAAAAGAGGTTTGATGTTTTAAAGGTAAGAAAATATCTGCGTTTAGTAGAGGTTTATAAATGTTGGTAAATAGTTAATCATGATGAGAAAAGTAACTTTTGAAACTAAGTGCATTTAAATATAAAGTTGCTATTTTAATGAAAAGAAAACATGGCTTTTTATTATTTGCTTTTAATGGGAAAGTCACTCAAAATACTGATGATATTTTATGATTTGCATAATATCTTGAAAAATATAACACGATTTAAAACTTTTCATATAAAATCTGAAATTTGTTTTCCGAAGAAACATGCTGATATTATTCCCACGTCGTCATCTTTCTTTTCATATTATGTGTGGCGGGTATTATGAGCATTGATGTACAGACACACTTTTTCTGACTTCTTCCCCAAAGTTGAATCTATATATAGTACAGTGACATAAACGTTAAGTGCATTTCAGCAAAGTATGGGAAAGATCTTTTGTCGAGGCTTAGTCAGTCATAGGAAATTTGTTTGTATGATGTAATCTTTGAAATAAGATGCTGAGTAATTCTCTAACTGGAACGAAAGTGCATTTTAGACATTCCTTGAGACCATGTGTTACTATGCTGTTCTCCTTGTAGGCATTTCAATGTTCAAATGTAGCTATAATTCACTATTATGGTAAAGAGCTACTGAAATGGCTTTTCTTATTTACACCTTTTAGAAGTTTTCATGCTGAGAAAGAAAAATTGCAATGTTGTAGAAAAGGAATACTTCTGGAAGTAAGGACAGGTGATGGTGATAGAAATGTGTACAATTTTACTATGAAAGAGGCATATTTTCTATGAATGAAGAACACACATATATATACTATCCTTTAAATTATTTTTTCACTGAACTATATGGCTGTTATTAAAGATGTTCTAGTTAAGCTAAAAAGTAAAAATTATTTTTTTTAGCTCCTTCACTTCAACTAGTGGCTTCACATAAATACAAAATGTGCTCCTGAAGCAACACAATTTTGAAAAAGTAGGGCTTATTACAACAAAAGCTTTCAAAGGAATTTATAAACTAAGGGATAATCTGTGAAGATTTTTAGTTGAATGGGCAAAGATTGCTGTTAACAGAAACACATTTTCACTTTATGGTGCTAGTTGAAGTGTGGGTAAAATGCAAGATTCTTGAGCAAAGGGTTACCAAACTTAAATATCATGAGTTTGTATTGTCTGTACAATGAAAACATAATGTCTGACATTTACACCATGAGTTTGGTTATAGTGCATTGATTCTTATTTTGTCTGGCTTTTTTTCCCCTGCTTTTTTCCCTCATGTGTTATAAAACATTCATAAACCACATTCCTCAACCACTCTATTTTACTAAACTTTCATTTTCCTTGAATATAACAAATCTGTCACTGAATCTTCCACAAATTATTTTTTATGAATTTTTGGAAGTATCCTTAGTATTCACAGATTGAATTAAATGTCCCTTTTTTAAAGAGCTAGATTATATCTTGATATTTATACATAAATAAACAAAGTTCACTGTTATAAGGTTGAGAAGATGACAACATTATCATTTCCAGTAGGGCTTTAAATGACAAAGCTCATTGGCATATTTTCTCTAAAAGGAAAATATCTCCTTAATGAGTATGATTTTTAAAATATAATATTAAGTTCTCAAATTTTAAGGTGTCTCAGAAGCATTTGAAATGTTTCTTAAATCATGGGTTGTTGGTCCCCAATCCCAGAGGTTAGGTTCAGTATCACTAGGGTCAAGCCTGAAAATTTGCATTGCTGACAAGATCCTAGGTGATACCGATGCTGCCAATCCAGGGACCATACTTTGAGACTCACTGCCTCAGCATATTGGGACAAGAAATGTCAGCCCCTTTCCCTTTCAGATTATCATTTCCAGAGGACCTGTTTTTGCATACTCCAACTCTCAGCTCTTATTGAAAGCAGTTTTATTGTAGTTGGAGGCTTTACAGTTAGCTGTTTATTGCTGTTTCCCAACCTGATTGACAGCATTTGGGGAATTAATTTTCTTGGCCCCATTGTGCTTTTTGCAGGGGTATAAATGAAAATGTTAAAGAATTTAAAAAATGACCTATTTACACTTGACAACTTCTTACGGTAATAAAACAATCTATAATAGCTGTACTGTGAGTTTGGTTCAGAGTAAACAGTTACGTTTAATTTTCTAAATGAAATGCTTATTTTAGAGCTTAAACATCCTTACTATAACTTTTCACAATCTAGAGTATTTGCTCATATATACATTTGTATATATATTGAAGAAATTATATATTGAAAATATGTTTGCATGCCATACTCAAGTGTATACATATACTTTTTCAGCATAAAGGGAATTACTTTATTCCCAATCATTCAGAGATACTATATTACTTTTATGATTTCTTCTCATTTTTGAGACTCCCACTGCAGCTGTTACTGAAATGCTGTTATGTCATGCAAAATGCACAAGATAGTCATAGAATTTCTATTTAGAACAGTAAGAAAGAAAAATGAAATTGAAAGTGAAGGGAGCAAATGTTAACTAATGTGAAGCTAGCAAAAACTTTAAGATATTTTAAACTGTTAAATTTTGCAGTATACTGTGAGGGATGAACATAGGTGGCATATGGAAAAAAATTGCTCCTCAAGATGCAAATTATATTTAAAATGTTATCAGTTGTGATTTTTGTTTCTACTCCTTTGCTAAGTGATCTATGTCATGAAATTAGTAGATACCCAGACCCCTTGGATATTCATTCAGGAATTTGAAATGAGCGTGGGCCATCCATTCAGCCTGGCTACCTTTCCTCTTGGTTTTGTGAGACAAATATTTTATATTTGTTTTCAGTTTGATACACCTAAGGTATAAAATTCAAGTTACATTTTAGCCTTTGCTGCTAATAACCTTAAGGAGAATAAAAGTAAAAAGTTACCACTGTATTGGGCATGGACATGTCTACTGATTACTGAACATTTGTTAACATAGAGAAAATAATTTCAGTAGTTAAACTATTCTATTATCTTATTTTTTAAAATTTTGTTGCAATGAATTCTATATATATGCAACACCATAAACTGATGTTCCCTTAGCTTCAGATTAGTCATCCTCATCTTGTCACAGAACAGGCTTTGGCATCATTAAAATTACCTTGTAAATATTGTACTTATACTAATGTGTTATATTCTTATGTTGTATGCATAGTCTTGTTAGTTAAATATTTCAAGCTAAAATTTATCTTCTCATAATAGTACAAATTAAAATATAATACATGAAATAGTAAAACAGAATTTG